CTTTTATTTCCAAGTGACGCCTCAAAAAATATAAAGAGGAAGGCAGGTGCTTTTGAAGTAATTTATTTAAGAAGATTTGACATTACGAAACAGATAAGGAAATTGTTTTTTTTTTCTACTTCAATGATAATTTTAATTTAATATTGACCGTTATATTAATACTATTTCTTATTAGCTTATGACCATGTATAAATATATAAAGTATCCTATGTGCTGAGTTAGGATATAATTTATTTACGTATCAAATTGCACTCTAATCTATTAATAGTTTGAAATAATTAATTAATTATTGAAAATATAGATTATAAAAGTGAACAATACGTACACAAATAAAATGAATACTTAATTACGTAAACTTCATTACATAAAAGCAAGATAAGAAGGCCACAATGGGCAGCCTCGTCGCTAAATAGCGATCTCTTTCAGGCAACCTTAGGATGTAAAGGAATAATTAATTTTGTGTCTGATCAAGGCGTAACAGAAAAATAATAAAACTAAAAAAAGAAGAAAAAAGGCTAAAATTAAATTTGAATGTTATTATTATATCATTATGATATTATTAGATGTTTTAAGAGGGACAGTGCTGCCCATCCTTCGCCCTCCCTTAGTCCCCTCTTACGACATCCATGAAAAAAGAAGCGGTGGCTTATTCTATACCTGGACCACACATCTTTAATATAGTCGTCACAAATACACTTTATATAATAGACGAAACAATCTATTGTCACAAACTGAGAGCACTTCAGTTGAATGTTTTATTTTTAGAACGCCTTTTGACCGTTGTCAATCAGTGTCGCATCATTTCAAAATACCATCCGTCAAATAATACGGGGGGGATGTGTATCAACACGCTAACCGAATGCTATTTATCTCAGCACCATTTGAGGAAACAAATTAAACACTTTTATACGTGAGGCGTGACAAAAAAAGAAAAGGGGAATGTGAAAAGCCCTATCGAATGGCGACCACGATGTTTAGTTTTGCTGGATGTGTTCATTAATATTTTTTTTTATTTGTATTTAGATTAAGATTTTCATTGATTTAAAAAAAAAGTAATTATTTCGGAATTTAAATATCATATAAGTTTAATAAAGCAATAGAGAGACAGATAGATAGATAAATAATTGATTTGCATTACTTACATCACACAAACAGCAACAGACACAAATGCACAGTGAAAAAAGATAAAAAAAGATACATGTACAAAAAATAAAAAATAAAATAAAAACAAAATGCATAAAATTAGGAAAAAAAATTCCCCTTCATGAGTGTGCCACAGTAACACAAAATGGTCACAACTCAGCTTATTGCTTTGCCCTAAAAAGAGCAAAACACTAATATTCTGTTGTGGCCAAAAGTGAGCCGCGAAATTCCACTGAAAAGAAATAATAAAAAAAAAAGAAATATAGACAAAAATACATTGTGTGTGTTCGTTATATTTACTATTTAGAAAATTCCTTTTTATTACTAGGGATAGAATGGAATTATCAACATAAGCAAATAAAGAAGTAAAGAACAACCAATAATGTGCTAGTTATAATATTCACTTCTGGAAGAATGTGATAAAATTCATTTAAATTAATTATTAACTTGGAAGAAAAAAACTATTACATCTCGTTATAATTTCCATGAGAATCTAATCTGTTTAAAATCTATTCGAATAACAAAGTAATGAAGATAATAATTCCCTATTCAACTCCAGGATGATATGAGAAGCGAAGAGGAAAATATAGCACAATATTATCGTGCTTATTCCCTTAAACGTTCCTGGAGGAATATAAATATATTAAATACTTCATTAATTTGTAAGCAACAGTAATCTATTATTGTAAATCTCATATAGTACTTATTGAAGAATGAATATAATGTACCATTAATTATTTTTATCTCCGGTATCATCCTGAAAATAAAATAGTTTTATAAGCATTCAATTTACTCATTTATTCAGAGCATAATTATAAAAAGAAAAGTCACTTTAACATTTTGTCTCTTTCATTGACAAAATGTTAAAGTAACGATTACTTAAGACACGATTCGTTATTTTGTTATAACGATAGTAAAATTTATTAATAACATAATTTTATTAACTTAAATTTAAATTTAATAACTTAACTATATGGTCCCAGCATAGAATGGACCACCCCTTTATTTCACATGGGTATCGTAAGAGGAATCGAGAAGGAAGAAGGATCGACTACAAGAACTTAATGGTCGTGGTATGGCAGCAATGTCCCTTTTAAATTTCAAAACCTAATTGCGTTTATCAATCTGCCAGAAATGGCAACTATTGGTAAATCCCCCCAATATGTGGAGTCTTATGTTCGACAATGGATAGTTATCGATGATGATGATTAACTCGCAATCTTATCCATTTTATTTTGTTGATTTAATCTTCAAAAAGGTTGTATTAAGGTTTTCAAGATCGGCAATGGGCATTTAACACCGTGTTGTAAATCTTCATAGGCTACCGTGACTATTTTTGTCAGATATGGCTGTAAGCTTGTTTTGTATAAAAAAATCATTTCTAGTACCATATGTATGTTTATATATATATATATATATATATATATATATATATATATATATATATATATATATATATATATATATATATATAAGAGAGATAGAGAGAAAATAATTTATTTATTTTATCTGTACAGATGTATCTATTATTTTTTTTGCTTATATTTCTTTCTGTTGGAAATTTTAATATCTAATATATATATAGCGTCACTTCTAGTAAATTCAATTTAGTCTAATTCCATGGCTTTTAAGCCATCAGTCCTCGCCTGAAGTTCGGTAAAAAACGTAAGTCCCCTCCGATATCCGGATTCTATATCTGTATCCGAATACCATGCTTTGACATCTACCGGAATGATGTCTCTTATTTGTAATCTTTGTCAGTATTTAACAAAAAGCCTAAAGTATTAATTAATGGTCTCTTTAACTTGCTTATAGATTTTAAATTTCAGTTACATTTTTTTTTTGATGAATTAACTAAATTCAAAATTTGGATATCAGATTATTTGTCTGTATATTAAAAATTCTTGTTGAAAATTTTTAAATTGAGTAAGCCCGTATATTTTTAAATTTAGTCATTAATTATTTTTAATTTTAAGAAATTTTCAATTATTACGCCTTATTTTCTCTGTTGTTGAAAATGCCGTTAAAAATTATTTAAGTCTGTATTTTCCAACATACTTAAAAAATTCCCAGAAAAAAATTACTTATAAACTAGATAAAAATAATAATTAACTAATTTTGTGCTTTAGAGAAGAAATAAATAAAAACTTTATACAAAATTATGCTGTGTGGTCCCGCCATAGAATAGGCCACCCCTTCCTTTCCAGGTGGGTGTCATAAAAAATGATAAAGAGATAGCGAGGGATCGGCAGCAGCATCCCTCTTAAAACATCTCTAAAGCCTAACTACGGTTTCCAACTCGCCTGCCAAGCATTGCAACTACTGGCAAAACCCCCCAAGAGGGAAGCTTATGTTCAGCAGTGGACAGTTAAAGGCTGATATGATAATAATGATGATGATAAAATGCTGTCTCCATTTGTAACTTTCGTAAATTTTTCACATAAATTTAAATATTCGTATTTTTTTTTATACAACATAGAATGGCAAACAAGCTAACGGCCCACCTGATGGAAAGTGGTAACCGTCGCCTATAGACAATGAGCAGTATCATGGACATAACAGAGTATACTGTTTCACCCATGATACCCCCCATGCGTTGCCATTCCTGAGGACTCAGATGTTATTCCTCTGTACTCTGTAAATTCACGCCATATCCCACCCTTCAAACCGAAACACAGCCATGCAAACACAACTGCTTTACGGTTGAAACACGAATGGGACAGAGGTACCAAAGCAAACGACTTTTGTACAAAGTCTCCCTCTGGTAAGTATAATAATATTTATATAATAATATTTTTACATTCAAAACCGCAAGGCACCTAATTTAGCAACGTTAGTCAAACAGACAGTTGCATACAGGGATAGATCTGATAGTCTAGACACATCTCGCATCAGCTGACTCGCTCTGTGAGGAATGTCTCCGAATTTGGACCCGTTCACTCGCATACACTGCACGTGCACACTCTGTTTTTAGATTCACAAATGTAAAATTTAATGTAAAATATTTTTTTAAATTTTAAATTAAGAATGAAATATGAGTATCCTATACAATGCAATTTATTTTAATATATATAGTAATTAAGTGTAGAATTAATTTACAATAAATTTATCAATTAATATAAATTTTCTCTTAATTGTCATAAAACAAAATTATTCAATAGATAATTATTCAAAAAACATTGTAAAAATAGCAATGTTAATTTTAATTTTCAAAATGTGTAAAAGAATAGAAATAGGACCGAATTAAAAACCAAAAAAATTACTAGGTATTTGGAGAACAATAAATTTAGATACTTTTTAAAGTAATTTAAAAAAAAGGTTTCAAATTTCAGCTGACTGAGAACTTATTTACACAAAGGAACATATGTTGGTACATATGGCCCTTTGTAGTATGTACCATGAAGTTCGTCATCAAAATAATAACTTTGTTGTTTGATCACATGTCCTCTAATTTATAAGACATGTGATCCTGTCCCAACGGTACCAACTGACGATGTTTTAATAGATTAGAGAAATCCGCTTTATTTACAACAACTATCTATTTTGGTCGTCACTTTAATCGATCAAGAGTGTCGTTAATGAGTACGGGAACTATCATTCGGCAATACCGGAATCGGAAGGGCCGGACGTTTATTTTTATATTATTACCTTAACGAGAAACATGGCAATAGTTTTTCAGTACGAGTACACTTTCCTGAGTGAACGAACTCTCGACGTGTCGTGGCTTGCGCCGTTCTATATTTAAACTACTGAGGGCGCTCGCCTCCCCCCTTCTTTTGTTCCTATTTCAAAATTCAAAAAATAGAACCGAAGGGTGTTTCGGGATGCGCATGAGTCAGTTTCGGTCGGCGCGCCGGCGCGTGCGCGTTTTCGCGCTAATTATCAGTCCGGATTCCGGACGTTTCAGTGCGGTGTGTGTACTTTGTTGGTCTATGCTCCTTTTGGATCTTAACGGATGTGTCATAGTGTCTAGTGTGGTGAACTCCCTATTTGGAGTCTTCATGCAGAAGGTGGATAAGGTATTTATTTAATAATAAATATAATTACATTTTAAAAAATAACATTCGTTTTTTTAAAATTACATATGTAATATTTTATGTAATAAAATCACATTAATTTACTTAATATTAAATATTGTCTCCCTGTAAAAAATAAATATAAAATATTTATATAATGATTCAGTTAACACAAAAACGTCATTGTCAAGCTTAACGTCTATAAGAAACAAACCTATTTTAATTTCGAAATGATCTCTTTCTTACAAATTTATTTAATTTAGTTTAGTAACAAAATTTAAAAAGAATTTAAAAACATTTTCCTGGCATTTATAATGGTGGATATGTTCAAATTTCTTTTATTAACAGAAATAACTTTGACTTTAACCATCTTTCAGACGATGGTACAAATTGAAATGTGGCTTGAATCCGATTAAATATTCGTTGTACTAAATATAATCTTCTCACTCCTATACTCTATATTGCACAATGTTAAGAAAATTAAAAAAAAAATTGTGGGTAGGTATCCAATCTAATAGTCGTCTCGAAATTAACAGCTTGTCATAGATAAAGTGTTCCATTTTTTTAATTACTCGTATTATAGAGAAGCAAAGGAGCAGACGGTCAACTTGATCGGAAGCGGGTACTCTTGTCTGTGATTAATTGCAATATAAGGGAATTTGCTTGTACAATATTGTGGGTGCTCATGAGTAACGGTAGTCTCTTACCATCATATTCCTTTTTAAAAGGCCGGCAGAACACCTGCAATACCGCTGGTGTTGTGTGTGATCATGGGCAGCGGTAGTCACTTACCACCAGGTGAGCTGCATGCTCGTTTGCCCCCTATGTTGTAAAAAAAAATCAACATAGCCACATGCTGCTGTGTTGTAAAAAAGAGAACGTTCCAAACCCCATTTTTATCTAATTCTCTTTGGACTATTGATGAATTTTACTCTATAAGTACTCTACTGTCTAAAATTATCAATATGATGCCAAAGAACGGTACTCTGGCTATAGAAAAGAGAAGATTGTTTAATGGTTTCCAATCATAAATGACTATCCTTAGGAATAGCAACGCATGATAGGTATCTGCGATGTTCACGTACTGTTCGTATCTATAGGCAATGATTACCACTTTCATTAGGTGGACCGTCAGTTTGATTGTCATTTCCCGTTACGAGAGCTGATTGTTAGCGAGTTGTGCTTAATTAGTACCCTATTAACTAATCTCAATCTACGGGTGATTTCTCAGTAATCTGCGAGATTTATCTAAGCTATACCTATTTCGTTGAATTTTAGCAATGCGCAGCGCTACGATTCGTAATCACGTTTTCTTCTAATTTCGATATTTGAGGCCTATAAAATCAAAGACAGCTAAATCCCAGTTTATCGAACGTTCAGGAAACTACAAGAACTAATATTTTGACAAGGATATGGAACAATATTCTATGTTTTAAACCAGATTGGAAAAAAAATACAATATTAGTAATAATTTGAATTTTAATTAATAGAACTTCCTCTATATTTGATTACAAAGTGAAAATGAAATCGATTTTATGGCGTTTAGCTAACTTTGATTTTATAGGCCTCATTTTATAAAAAAAGAATAAGGAATTAAATACAGTACTTTGAATTAATGTAATATCTTTAGTGATTATTAATTATAACGATATTAAAAATAATAATTTTTAGACCAAAGACACGTGCGACCTCTTTGTGACGTAATGGCCAGTACCCACGAGAGATGCCTCTAAAAATCTCTTGAATGTTCAAATATTTATATAACAAATAAACATTTGAACATAAGATGGAAATAAACAAAATATTGTTACTATATTTTCAAACGGAAAACATCGAAAAAGAAAACAAACTAGGGCAATTTTAAATCAACAATATTTATCTCTATTCACATCAATATACGTCCTATAATTGATTCACTTGATTCGCCATTTGAGACATCTACCTCGTCGCTTCGCTAATGCTATTTTCTTTTTAACCCACGTCATAACACAAGGTACGAAAACCGATTATTTACTTTTCCACTTCGCTAAAACTAGACGTTGTTAGTATAAGCGGTCGACGGGTTGAAGTGGGTTGATCCGGTAGCCCAAATGTAAACGAAATAACGGGCGAATTATTAACGCTGCTGTAGGGTTGTAAAAATTATGTTTCATTTTTTTAAATTTCAACTACATAATATATAATTTTCTACATAATAAAACCGCAATAAATAATAATAATAATATGTTTAATTATAAAAAATAATTAATAAAGTTACATCATGCAAAACTACTATGAATACAATATAATTTGTAATATTAATAGCTTTTAAATATTTATTTCCTTTATTTTTTATATCTAATTTTATTCTAAATTCTAAATTATAGTTCTTTTAGAGTGATAACTTTTTAACTATACTTTTATTAAATTACAGAATTGACGTTGTATTATCTAGATTAAATTATAAGCTTAATCACTTATAATTAATTATTAATTTTAAATGTTATAAATAATTTTACATGTACAAAAATTATAATTACCTGTAGTGTGGAGTTTACTGATCTGTAAATTGAAGGTAACAAAAAAAAAACATAATTATGATAACTTCCACAATCTAGTTGTAATAATTATTATGTATACATATTTATTGCTTTAATATGGTCTTCTCAATTTATTTATAATTCATTAAATTCTAAAGATTACAAGAAAATTCTAAATATGTAATTTAATAATTATTTAGCGTAATCATCTTAAGTAACGATTTTGTGTTGCCATTACTCTTAATCTAGTTCTAAAATTTAAATTTGGAATTTGACATCGCAATGAACTTTTTATTCTAAGAACCAGTATGAATTAATTTTATTATGAATTAGATTTATGTCAAAATTATTACAAATTTAACTTATTACATAGTCCATAAACTAGTAATTTCGTGAAATTATGAAATTGAAATTTTAGACTAAGAGCTTAGAGAAATGTCGCCTCAGAACGGCTCCTTTGTTTGTGTCGACAGCCCTATCATATCGTATCGGGGTCAACGTTCAGCCCGCTTAATTCCGCGAGTAGGTCGCTTCCAATGTGATTTTCATAACTTCCGAACTGTCATTATATCGACACTGGACTCGTGACGTCACTATATATTCAATTTTTTTATTGTATGTAAATTTTTCATAATGACTTAATATTTTTGGTAATACTTATATAAAGTCGGAATCTTAATAATTTAAAATTTTACTCTACAAAAATATTCCGACTTCAATAGTAGAAAAATCTGATATTTTGATTCAAAATCTAAACCAATGAACTCATTTTGGCAAAATTTCAATGTGACCAATCTAGTAGTTTTTTTTTTCTTTTTAGACAGGAGAAGAATTACCAAATCGATTTATATATATCGAAAATAGAGTTATGAGGTAACAAATAGCAAAAAAATAAGACCAATATGTGACCGGTCTTCTTTTTTGAAATCGGCTAAAAAGAAAATTTTATTTGAACAAACGTACCAATATTACGAATGTCAATGTTAACTTGTTTGTTCAAATTCAAATTCAAATCGTTAATTGCACGAATATGGGTACATACATTAGATGAAAAGAATAATTACATGTCCATTATTCCACATTTATAAAATTAAAGTAATAATAACTTATATAACAAGAAAAACAATGTCAATAATAATAATAAAATGTACTACCCACTAGTATTGCCAATAATAGTGGGAGCGACAGGTGTAATAGCGAATAGCTTGAGTAGGTATTGCGAACAACTACACGCGAACATCAATATAGGTATATTACAAAAACAAGCAGCCATGCATTCCTCGTTCATAATATGTAAAGTAATAAAATAATCACACTAAACTTACAAGATGCACCACATCACACTACTACAGACACGCATACACACGTATAGAGCTATGAAGCATAAAAATAATATATATGCATATTTGCATACACACACGTAATAAAAGGGGTTGGGATCTTAGCTTTCTTTTTTCCAAATGTTTTTGGGACGGGTTGTCTGAGAAAACCGGCAAATTAGCCGAGAATGAAGTATATAATAAAATGTAAAAAATGACAATAAAAATAACTAAATTGTATGTCTAATATTTATCAATGTAATAGTCATGCAACGTATAGTAACATTTGGCTGACAAATATTCTTTTGCTTTTTTCTTAAATACATTTAAACTGTCTATTTCCCTAAATGCTTTCGGGAATGTATTATATATTTTAGAGGCCATACCGAAAAAACTTTTATCAAATAATGCTGTGACGTGAGGCTGAACGCGAATTTTATCGGTATTACGGTCACTTTTTAACTTTTCAAATAAAAGTTTATTCTTTTTCACAAAAAACATTATTTCAACAATATAAAGGCTTGGAAAAGTCAGGATATTCAGTCTTTAGAATGAAGTCGTACATGTATCAGTTCTTTTCAATTTTGAAAATTTCAAAACATTGTTACATCTTGGCGCCTTACCAATCATTATGAAGTTTAATGCATACCAAATATTTTTTATGAAATAAAGCTGGTTCCAGCCAGCATGAACTACTTGCCTTGTGTAGAGGTAACACTTGAATGAAAAGATGTTCATGATGATTAGTTGTGTTTGCATGACTGTGTTTCGGTTTGAAGGGTGGGATATGGCGTGAATTTACTGGGTACAGAGGAATAACACCTGAGTCCTCAGGAATGGCAACGCATGGGGGGTATCATGGGCGAAACAGTATACTCTGTTATGCCCACGGTACTGCTCATGTCTATAGGCGTCGGTTACCACTTTCCATCAGGTGAGTCTAAGTTGTATAAAAAAAATGATCTAGTATTCTTTTTATATCAACTGAAATATCCGGGTCATGCGAACAAAGTCGCGGATTAAAACTAGACTCCTATTAAGATATTCAAAACAATTACTTTATGAAGAAAATCTTTAACCAAAAGGCATCAATACTAAACGAAACTTTACAACTGTTGCCCAAAATTGTTGTTAGATTCAACTTCTGAGAATTTGTTTGGTACAA